GTCTATCGCCGCTTCTTGAAGAGGCAGGTGTACCTGACTTTGCCAGACGAGAGCCTCTCATGTGCGGACATGCAACGCAAGAAGCACTGCTAACACATGTACGCGATGGTGGCAAACCATTCCTGTGTCTCTATGACATTGAAAAAGCCTTTGACTCAGTCGAGATACCTATACTACTCAAACAGCTATACTCTATTGGCATCAATGGGAAACTCTGGCGCCTGCTAAAGCACTGGTACTCTACGTCATCTGCTAGAGTGAAGGTAAATGGCTGCGTATCCAGCTGCTTCAGCATTTCTCGAGGTGTCAAACAGGGTTCGGTGCTCTCTCCAACCTTGTTCCTCACCGTGATGGATTTGCTCTGAGACGAATGCGAGAGAGTGAGTATGGTCTCTATGTGAGGGGGACTTACATGGGCGGTGCCATTCATGCTGATGATCTTCGCGCTACTGCTGCATCATCTGATTGTGTCTCAAGACAGGACGAAGTAATCAACTCCTTCGCCTCCGACTCCTGCCTAAAATTGAATACAAACAAGTTTGAGGTAGTGAAGATCTCTCCCTACTCTAACGATATGGCTTCTGTTCAAATTGGCAATTCCAACATCGCCACCTCCAGTGCCTCAAAGTGTCTTGGAGTATGGTGAAATTCAAAACCTATCTGCCCAACACTCTGTTTCTGATAACGTCAACAAGGCCAGAAGAGCTTTCTTTGCTCTTGGGAGGCTGGGAGCTTTCCAGGGTGATTTAAATCCCCTATTTTCATGCAGTATGTTCGAAACCTGTATTATCCCAATACTACTATACGGCAGTGAGACCTGGTTGCTGGACTCCACCTCTCTCAATACTCTAGAGAGTTTCCAACATGAGATTGGATGCCGTATTTTGCGCGTGCCAAAATTCTACTCCAAACTTGCTGTACGTATCGGTCTCCATTGGCCCACAGTCGCTACCCGTATTCTCATCAGGAAGTTCAGCTTTCTCAGCAAGCTCCTATCACGAACTAAAGACACAATCAGTCGCAGGGTTTTTTCCTCACTTGCAATGGAAAATATATGAGTCCAACAGTGCAGAATGTTGGAAGCAAACCTGGGTATGTGTGTCCTCGCAAAATGCCTATCAGATCCTGAAAGTGCACCTGACATTGTTAGAAGCGACAAAAAACACCTCCTTAACTCCGATTTCAAGATTCTACTACTTTCAGCCACCCAAGCTGTGGATCAGCTGCTGCAGCCTCTCGAGTTGCCACTCATACATCATGGCGCCGTTTATGGGACGTTGCTTTAGACCAAGGAGTTAAGGCACTCGCACATGCAGGCGATTTCAGGAAACTCTGCCGTCCAAGCTCATGTTTCCAGTGTTCACTATGTGACTCAGCGGTGCCAAGAAACATCTCATGCCTCAAACACGCTTGTACAAACCACCCAAGCGAAATGGAGAACCTGTCATATGCCCTTCTCATAAATGCAGAATCCGCTGTCTCTATTTTTTCTTCATCATGTAAACGTGTGCCATACAGCAGCTGCTTTTGGACCCTTAAACGCAGTAATTAAATTGTTGTCACAATGTTGTTTGCTGTGCATATGCCCGCTGGGTCACTGCCATTATTATTATTGTTATGTCCGTCCGTCCGTCCGTCTGTCCACCGTTTTTCTCGGTAACCGCGGCAACTCTGAGCGTGAAACGTGGACATATTTTCAACTAGGAGGAATGCATGGTAAAATAAGATTCTGGAGCGGAGAAGCCCCGGGGGAGCTGGTGAAACGGACGGCTGCCGAGGTGGGTGTGCGTCAAGTAGAGATCGCGAACCATCCTTGTAGATGATAGATGCTTTGCGTGTGTGGAGAAGATTTGGTCTGGCTGTATTGATCGAGATTGCCGGTGAAGTGAGAGCAGCACACGTCCCAGTGAATCCGTTCAGTGAAGCAGTCACTTAGCTATAATTATAGTATGTAGCTGAATAGTAATGAGGGTTGTCAAGACCAGTGCTTTTCACTTTGCTGTAGTACCTACTAACTAGTATTGAACGCGCATGTGGCAAAAACTTACGTAGTGTAGCTAGTAGCCATTGCCTGCTGAAATAAAGAATAAAGTGGCGAGGGTTATGCACTTTCAAGTACTTTTAATTCTTGTTTGCAATTCAAGTTTCATAAATTCTGAGTTCAATCCCTGACATAAGTACTTTTATTACTCTCTCTACACCTCTGTTGACAAAAGTAGCTCTAGCTACTCAGTCTCTGTTTGCCCAACACATTACAAGAGGTGCAACGGTATGGGAGTGCTAGATGTACTATCATGAATTCAGCTGTGAACTGTATGAAAAGCTAGTCCATTGGAAAGAAGGGGACCAGAATACATAGGTGTTGCTCTGAACAATTATGGTAGCTTCACCATTGCTGAAGATCCTGACAGGAATTACTGCAGTGTTCTGCACATTCCTGTTATCAGCTTATGCTACTCTACTCTTCGGAGAATACAGCTAGCTACAGTATGCCAGGAATGGAATTTTACTCTAAGCAAACCCTCCTCCGCCCCTTACAGCAGGGACCCCTGCTATGCTCATGTTTCTCCAACCTTCACAGCCATACACTGTGTATAGATGACACTTGCACTTTGAGCAGTTTTATGTGTAGTATAATATAGCCATTTAGAATTACCTACATAAAACATTATGGTAATTGAAGAAAACATAAAATAACAGTTATTCAGCCTTACATGATCTTCCTTGCCCTTACTCTCTTTATATGTAGTATTGTTGTGTATATAAGATTTGAGGCCTGGAGTTTCCTCCATGCATCTGTCAGAAACTATGTGAGGAATGGAATTTTACTCTAAGCAAACCCTCCTCCAACAGATGGCCCTTACAGCAGGGGCCCCTGCTATGCTCATGTTTTTGTAAAGGGGACAGCCACACTCTGTATTATAGATGACACATCACATGCACTATTACTATGATGATACAAATGCAACATAATGATTCAGAATTAAGGGCATTATTCACCGATGCTCTAATGTTGGCATTTCATCCCCTTTACAGCAAGGGGCCCCTGCTATGCTTCTGTTTCTCCAACAGTAACAGCCACACACTGTAGAAGAAACCTGACATGTACTGCACTATTAGCTACTATGATGATGCAAAATGTCATTTTAAATTTCAGCAGTTTTACACTTTACGGCAAGTGACGATGCACAATAACATTATGTTTGCATTGCACCCCATGCCCTTTCACCCCTATTTTTGGGCTGTGTATTGCATCAGTAAAATAGCACAATTCAGAATAAAAGGTAGGTTTTGCTCGCCACTATTAATCCATAACTTTTTGGATAGTGGGTCCTTGACTACCTTTCGTTTGTGCCCCTAAGATTATTCCAGACCGGGCAACCTTGAATAATTCCTTAACGTTGAATAGGCCATGTGTTCTGTATACCACACAGAAAGTCTAAATCTTAATTACGCACATCTTATTGTTGTTGGGGACTCTTGTCATGCCTGTGTATCTGATGGAGAGCCTCCTGTCCCCTACCTCACTTGGTCTGCTACTTCCAGTTCTCTGCACTGAAGTATATACGATCTTGGACAGAACTTCTTCCCTCAAATGAACGGAACTTCTTTCCTCACCTGAACATAGCATCCTTTCTCACACTCTATCTGCAACCTCTACTGTACATAGGCGCATATACGAGATAAGCTGTGCACAGAATCATTATTTATAATTGGGATTCCCAGGCGATGGAGTTGGTTCACGAGATACTAAGCATTTATTTCTCAATACCACCACTCTACCTAGCTCCTCTTCTGCCATTTGTATCAGTTTGTTTGTAGGGGTCAGTGATGTTATATCAAAACCAACGTTGGCAATACTGCTGACTCAGCTATTAACTAGGTCTGCAAACTTCACGCTACAATCAGCTTTTGCTATTCGAGAATAGTCAGATCTGGAGTTTCCTTCATGCCTCTGTCATGTGCGGAATTGCTAAGCAAACCTCCTCCAACAGCAATGCTTACAGCAGGCCCCTTTGATATGCTCATGTTTCTCTAATCTTGACAGTATAATAGATTAAAGCAGACATGTACCTACTGCACTATCACTATGATGATAAAATGCAACATAATCACTAAAATCTCAGCTGTTTTACGTGTATTAATTATGTGACAACGCATATTATCGTATGTTGAGGTTGAGAATGCGCTTTGGCATACTTTGAAAAGGAGGGTTTTTCTAATGTCTTACAAAAACTATGCATTGGATTTGTACCAAACCAAGTCCAAAGGAATGGGAACTATAAGAACTACAAACTGTACCAACAACCACTGTGCAATAGAATGATGAGTAATTAAGTTATAGGAGAAAATCAACATGCATTCTCAACTTGAATTGACTATAGCAGTATGTTGGCATTGAGTCCCCCTGCTCTTACTGTGTTGTGGACTTTTGGCTCCATTCATGCCTGTGTATGTGATGCAGAGCCTCAACCTCACTAGGTTGTTTGGTGTGGCACTTACAGTTCTCTGCACTAAAGTATACGATCTTGGACTCACCTGAACAGAACTTCTTTCCTCACATTCTATCTGAGAACTATGACAGACACGTGTACTCAGCTGCATGTCTGCTTTGTGTACACAACAGACACTGCGGCATGAAATGTAGCTACAGCTGTTGGTAAATCAGTTCCCTTTCTAAAAATGGGTTGCAGACCTTCGTGACTCTATCTATAGTAAGTCACTTGTTATGGGCAGAGGCATCAATAAGCGTTATGCCGACACGCATGAGGCATACGTTAGTGCATAGCATGCAGAATAATTGGCACGATTCACTGACCGTAACACAATCTGAGATATGACGCACAATTTTATGTGCTTGGCAATAATACAGGCAGTACTCAATCCATGGTGAAATGAATAACACACAGTTAGTCTGGTCCAAGGTCTCTCGTATTACACTAAAGAATCCAAAATAGCTGGCAAATCAAAGGGATTTCTTTATTACTTCAACCTTGATACAGGCCAACTCTGCAACTTCGCAATTTTATGTGCTCGGCAATAATACAGGCAGTACTCAATCCATGGTGAAATGAATAACACACAGTTAGTCTGGTCCAAGGTCTCTCGTATTACACTAAAGAATCCAAAATAACTGGCAAATCAAAGGGATTTCTTTATTACTTCAACTTTGATACAGGCCAACTCTGCATTTTCCATGTTTCTCACGACAGCATAGAGTGTGTAGTCTCCCTGTGAACATGAATTAAACCTGAATTAGAATTTAAACACAAAATCACCCTTCCTAATTTGGACTTCTCTTGAAAAGCACTTGGAAGTGCATAACCCTCGCCACTGTTATTATGGAAGTTCAATAAGTGGCTGTCTCAGAGAAGATCAGAGACTGCTCTTCCTTTAACAATTTCAGCTGTATTAATACTTGTTAAACCATCAGTACAGGCAGACCAACAAATATTCTGCACACGTGCAAAGCATCTAGCATCTAAGTACAGTGATCGTCTGCGATCTCTATTTGACGCACACTTACCTCGGCAGCCGTCCGTTTCACCAGCTTCCCCGGCCTTCTCCGCTCCAGAATCTTAGTTTATCATGCATGCCTCCTACTGGATAATATGGCCACGTTTGACTGTCAGAGTTGCCGCGGTTACAGAGAAAAACGGTGGACAGATGGACGGACGGACGGAAGGATACATGCACACACACACACAGAGAGACCAACTACAACAACCCTCGCTGCATGCAGCAGGCGAGGGTTAATTAAGACACATTATGTTTCCATGATGCTGTGGTAGCTAATGTTGAGCTAATGAAATTTTAACTACCACCTTCAAGGCCAGAGATACAGTATTGTGAATCTGGCCCCACAAGCTTAGACAGCTGAGTGTGGTAGGTTGACTTTGTCTTGTGTTGTATTGTGTTGTAGGTATATACCCCTAACAGCCTCAGAGCTCAGAAGGTACTGCCTAGACTACAGAGTGTCCTGGGTTGAATCACACCATGGGCAGCTCCTGTTCTGTTATCCTTAGAAAAACAGGAGTTGCCCCGTGTAGTTCATTTGTTTGTCTTTGCTTTGTTTGACCTTGTTGTTAATACATGTGTGTAAAGTCCCATATCTTAATCATAGGAAAGCTTAGTCTGGCGTACTTTTCCCAAAAGTATATGCAAGTTCTACCTGAAACAACCATGTCAATATAAACAGTGGTGCTTATAGCTACCACTTTTGCCAGTGTGTACATACATGTAACAGGAGGGTGCAATGTATATACACACTGAATGTGTGCTGTTGACAAGAGCAAAATGAAATTACCATGAAAAAACATGTTTATAGCATACTAGCTAAAAGAATAATATATATCAGAGGAAAAGAAAGAACCTCCCCCACCCAAGCACACAAAACACAGACAATAACATATAAACAGAAAGAAAGAGGCAGGACCCTGGGTGCCCAGCCATGAGAACCGGGGCGGTAGGTTAAAGAGTCTTTTATGGGCCCAACTCTCCCTACACACCCAGTGTCCCAACCTCCCTTAGATAGAAATCATGTACAAAAAAACGACAGCTATAGGATAAAAACAACAGCTGGTAGAAAAATAGAAAGCCTCAAAGGACCAATAAACTCATAGAAAAATATAAAAGCTCTGAAACTCACACAGCACGACGGAGACATAAAAACGTGAAATTACTCTAAATAACGCACAGCATATATACGTGTAAGAAAAATATAAATAATAGTAGAAATGGTAGAAAATGTAGATTATCCAAAATAAATATGTGAACATTCTATCTATGCGAGACATGGCGACTGAGGAACTGAGAAGGACAACACTGCTTCTAGACACTGAAACTCTTGAAGCAAATGTCGGCAGCACAACAGTCTTGCATATTATTAATTTTCCTAATAGGCAAGCCAGCAAGTTTTGATGCACCAAACTAATTTCCTGGCTCTCCTATCACGACTTCGTGAGTATAACATACAATCGCTCACTCCAGCATGGTTACAACATTGTTCACTCAGTAAAATTTTAAATTGTACCCACAGAAATGTAAAATATGAAGAACAATCTCACCGGATGGAAGTACGGCTCAATAGGATTAGAGAGAGCAAATGTCCCGTTTCCTTTCTCCACTGGGCACTTGAATATTTTGCAGAGAGAAATTGTGTTGAAATATGATGGCACAACGCCATATGTAACGTTGACTGAGACATTTCCATTAACAACCCTTTTTTCTGGAATAATAAAGAGAAGTAACTACAGGTTTCAGCATGACTGATGTACTTCTCACCAAGACTGTATGAAACATTGAAATCCCCAGTGTTCTTGGAGAGACTAACTTTGAGTATCTTCATTGTATCGTCTTTCCCAGCTAAATGACAAAGTTGATGACCAGTGAACACATTCGCGTCAAAGCCGCGTAGCTAGCTAGTAGGCTAAACGCTTCCAAAACCCTGGGAAATTAGTCGGCCATATAGCTAGCTATGACAGAGACTGTGTATGAACTATCAGACTCACAGCAGTCCTTCCAGGACCAGCTATCAGTTTTGCAGGGACACGGCGCGAACATGGCTATGAGGCATAGGCAGACAAGCAGAACACCCATTGTGTCTGTCGAGGGTAATCTCAGGATCAGGATAGTCCGACGGGAGACTTCCGAAGGGATAGGGGGATTGTCTTTGGCTCACCTGGTTGCAAACCGCGAGGGACGACAATCACGCACTGCGCGTACGCGGGCTAAATAATTTAAAGCATGCAGCTATGATCTCTTTGATACAAACAGCAAACACAACGTAATACCATCCCATTAATAATAACTAGTGGAAATGTTAAACATTGTTGGCGAGCGGGAGCGACCCAACTTGGGATTTGCCTGCGATGTTCGGGCTGCATAACGCGCCGTCAGAGGGAAAGAAGCAGCAAAGATGCGGCTAGTGGTGCAGCAGACACGGCTCTGCCTGCAGGGCACGAAGGTAGAGCAGCCTATGACGTACTACCCTTCGCGTCTCATAGGTTTTCCAAGTTTAACCTTGCGTAGACTACTTTCTCAGTATGCGACTTCTGTCCTTGTGCCCGTGGCGCTCCTGTTAGGATCGGAGGAGGAGCAGGAGACCGTAAGTGTATGCGTAGAGTACGGTCTCCTTAGGTGACTTCTAGTGCTCAGGGCCGTGTTAGCCTGGGCACAAACCTGAGCTCTCAATGGAGCAGCCACAGGAGCCGTAGACTGAGCTGTACACTGGTAGTAGTAGTCTGTGCATAGTGCACACGAGACTGAGCAGCCTGTCCCGCACTGTCCATGTGGGGTGTTACCTTCCATGCTCTGGCTTCTCCAGCAGGACACGTCTGAGACTGACACCCCCACAGACCCCCAGCAGGACACGGCTGAGCAGGTAGGACACTACGTATGAAGTACTGGAGCAAACCTGTATTGAAGTACAGAGGGAACCTGTTCCAGCATGGTGGTTCCTCTGTCGTACAGTAGCTTGCAGAGGTTCAGAACTGGTGAACCTCTCTGACGGCTTTGTCAGCCCGCCCTGTTGTGTGGCTGGCGACCTGTGGACCACTGCGTGTGGCCAGGGTTGTCACCATGACACCTCTTCCTGGCCTAACTGTGCCAGTCTGCTCTGTCTGAGCCATCTGTGCTCTGTCTTTGCCCTCAGGGCATGTCTGAGACTGCCGCCCCCACGGACCCCCAGCAGGACACGGCTGAGACTGACGGCCCCACGGACCCCCAGCAGGACACGGCTGAGACTGACGCCCCCACGGACCCCCAGCAGGACACGGCTGAGCCGGTAGGACACTACATAGGCAGTCATGGAGCACACCTGTACTGAAGTACAGAGAGAACCTTAGCGTGCAGAGGTTCAGGAGTGGTGAACCTCTGTAGGAAGCGTTCCTAGACATGGAACTAGCACTTAACCACCCTGCTGATAAAACTCTACACACCTTGCTGTCTCTGTGTTTGTTTTAAGAAGGTTTCACTGTCAGAATGACATCCTGAGGCCTAGGCCTCCTGGTAGTCAGATCTCGAGCATAATTATAGATAGATATAACTACCAGGAGGCCTAGGCCTCAGGATGTCATTCTGACAGTGAAACCTTCTTAAAACACAGAGACAGCAAGGTGTGTAGAGTTTTATCACAAGTGCAGGCTAGTTCGTCGGCACCGAACCTCTATACCTGCAGCAGTCCAGGAAATTCAGTGTGTGCAGGGTGGTTGTGCACTTGTTCGGGGTGGTTCAAGCACAGCGAACCTCATCGAACCTACACGAGAACCACATCACGCGCTCCTGCAGCAGGTGCTCCTTTCAGAAGGTGCTCTAGGCTAGTCTCCGGGAGGTGCTCCCAGGAATCCTCCGGGAGGTGCTCCCAGGAATCCTGGATGGGGTACTTCCAGAGGCCGTTCTGTGCGGGCCGGGGCCGAGGCAGACCTCGCTCTCTCTAATAGCATACTTTTTGAGGAGGTTCGATGAGGTTCGATGTGCTTGAACCACTGTGATAAAACTGTACACACCTCGCTCTCTCTAATATCATTCATTTTGAGGCGGTTCGATGAGGTTCGATGTGCTTGAAACACCCCGAACTTATGTGACAAAACTCTACACACCTCGCTCTCCCTAATATCATTCATTTTGAGGAGGTTCGATGAAGTTCGATGTGCTTGAACCACCGCAAACTTCTGTGAACCAAAACTCGTACACACACCTCGCTCTCTCTAAATAATCTTTTAAGGAGGTTCGAGGAGGTTCGATGCACTCGAACCAGTGCATAAGCACCTGCACACTTGCTTCCCCTCTAAAGATGTAGTTAGAGAAGTTCGGTACAGTCGAACCACCCCGAACTCATGTGAAAGAACTCTACACACCTTGCTCTCTCTGCAATGATGTAGTTCAAGAAGGTTCGAGGAGGTTCGATGCACTTGAACTACCCCGAACCAGTGCATAAGCATCCTGCACAAATTGCTTCCCCTCTAAAGATGTAGTTAGAGAAGGTTCGGTACAGTCGAACCACCCCGAACTCATGTGAAAGAACTCTACACACCTTGCTCTCTCTGCAATGATGTAGTTCAAGAAGGTTCGAGGAGGTTCGATGCACTTGAACTACCCCGAACCAGTGCATAAGCATCCTGCACAAATTGCTTCCCCTCTAAAGATGTAGTTAGAGAAGGTTCGGTACAGTCGAACCACCCGAACTCATGTGAAAGAACTCTACACACCTTGCTCTCTCTGCAATGATGTAGTTCAAGAAGGTTCGAGGAGGTTCGATGCACTTGAACTACCCCGAACCAGTGCATAAGCATCCTGCACAAATTGCTTCCCCTCTAAAGATGTAGTTAGAGAAGGTTCGGTACAGTCGAACCACCCCGAACTCATGTGAAAGAACTCTACACACCTTGCTCTCTCTGCAATGATGTAGTTCAAGAAGGTTCGAGGAGGTTCGATGCACTTGAACTACCCCGAACCAGTGCATAAGCATCCTGCACAAATTGCTTCCCCTCTAAAGATGTAGTTAGAGAAGGTTCGGTACAGTCGAACCACCCCGAACTCATGTGAAAGAACTCTACACACCTTGCTCTCTCTGCAATGATGTAGTTCAAGAAGGTTCGAGGAGGTTCGATGCACTTGAACTACCCCGAACCAGTGCATAAGCATCCTGCACAAATTGCTTCCCCTCTAAAGATGTAGTTAGAGAAGGTTCGGTACAGTCGAACCACCCCGAACTCATGTGAAAGAACTCTACACACCTTGCTCTCTCTGCAATGATGTAGTTCAAGAAGGTTCGAGGAGGTTCGATGCACTTGAACTACCCCGAACCAGTGCATAAGCATCCTGCACAAATTGCTTCCCCTCTAAAGATGTAGTTAGAGAAGGTTCGGTACAGTCGAACCACCCCGAACTCATGTGAAAAGAACTCTACACACCTTGCTCTCTCTGTAATGATGTAGTTCAAGAAGGTTCGAGGAGGTTCGATGCACTTGAACTACCCCGAACCAGTGCATAAGCATCCTGCACAAATTGCTTCCCCTCTAAAGATGTAGTTAGAGAAGGTTCGGTACAGTCGAACCACCCCGAACTCATGTGAAAGAACTCTACACACCTTGCTCTCTCTGCAATGATGTAGTTCAAGAAGGTTCGAGGAGGTTCGATGCACTTGAACTACCCCGAACCAGTGCATAAGCATCCTGCACAAATTGCTTCCCCTCTAAAGATGTAGTTAGAGAAGGTTCGGTACAGTCGAACCACCCCGAACTCATGTGAAAGAACTCTACACACCTTGCTCTCTCTGCAATGATGTAGTTCAAGAAGGTTCGAGGAGGTTCGATGCACTTGAACTACCCCGAACCAGTGCATAAGCATCCTGCACAAATTGCTTCCCCTCTAAAGATGTAGTTAGAGAAGGTTCGGTACAGTCGAACCACCCCGAACTCATGTGAAAGAACTCTACACACCTTGCTCTCTCTGCAATGATGTAGTTCAAGAAGGTTCGAGGAGGTTCGATGCACTTGAACTACCCCGAACCAGTGCATAAGCATCCTGCACAAATTGCTTCCCCTCTAAAGATGTAGTTAGAGAAGGTTCGGTACAGTCGAACCACCCCGAACTCATGTGAAAGAACTCTACACACCTTGCTCTCTCTGCAATGATGTAGTTCAAGAAGGTTCGAGGAGGTTCGATGCACTTGAACTACCCCGAACCAGTGCATAAGCATCCTGCACAAATTGCTTCCCCTCTAAAGATGTAGTTAGAGAAAGGTTCGGTACAGTCGAACCACCCCGAACTCATGTGAAAGAACTCTACACACCTTGCTCTCTCTGCAATGATGTAGTTCAAGAAGGTTCGAGGAGGTTCGATGCACTTGAACTACCCCGAACCAGTGCATAAGCATCCTGCACAAATTGCTTCCCCTCTAAAGATGTAGTTAGAGAAGGTTCGGTACAGTCGAACCACCCCGAACTCATGTGAAAGAACTCTACACACCTTGCTCTCTCTGTAATGATGTAGTTCAAGAAGGTTCGAGGAGGTTCGATGCACTTGAACTACCCCGAACCAGTGCATAAGCATCCTGCACAAATTGCTTCCCCTCTAAAGATGTAGTTAGAGAAGGTTCGGTACAGTCGAACCACCCCGAACTCATGTGAAAGAACTCTACACACCTTGCTCTCTCTGCAATGATGTAGTTCAAGAAGGTTCGAGGAGGTTCGATGCACTTGAACTACCCCGAACCAGTGCATAAGCATCCTGCACAAATTGCTTCCCCTCTAAAGATGTAGTTAGAGAAAGGTTCGGTACAGTCGAACCACCCCGAACTCATGTGAAAGAACTCTACATACCTTGCTCTCTCTGCAATGATGTAGTTCAAGAAGGTTCGAGGAGGTTCGATGCACTTGAACTACCCCGAACCAGTGCATAAGCATCCTGCACAAATTGCTTCCCCTCTAAAGATGTAGTTAGAGAAGGTTCGGTACAGTCGAACCACCCCGAACTCATGTAAAAGAACTCTACACACCTTGCTCTCTCTGTAATGATGTGGTTCAAGAAGGTTCGATGAGGTGCGATGTGCTTGAACCACCCCGAACTTATGTGACAAAACTCTACACACCTCGCTCTCTCTAATAGCATGCTTTTTGAGGAGGTTCGATGAGGTTCAATGTGCTTGAACCACCGCAAACTTCTGTGACAAAACTCTACACCCCTCGCTCTCTCTAATATCATTCATTCTGAGGAGGTTCGATGAGGTTCGATGTGCTTGAACTTACGTAGACGATTAAAACTGAACAAGTTTCTGCATGTTTGTGCAAGTTTCTGCAGGTTTGTGCAGGTTCTGTTTTAATCCTAAATACATAAGTGACCACATACTTTACACAAGTGCTTGGACTTGTCCCTGTGTAAACAGTGCCTGTGCAGGGTGCTTAGAGGTCTTTCACAACTGTTCACAATGCACACACAAGCAAAAAAGATTGTTTAGATATTCTGCTATGATTCCAACCCAGGCCCCCCACTTGTCTGAAAATTTTTTGGGACTTGACGAGTGCACACACTCACTTGACATTAACCACCCCCACCCCCAAGTGCACCCTGTACACTTCGTTTCCCCTGTAACGATGTAGTTAGAGAAGGTTCGGTACAGTCGAACCACCCCGAACTCATGTGAAAGAACTCTCCACAGCTTCCTATCTATGCAATGATGTGGTTCGAGAAGGTTCGAAGATGCTTGAACCACCCCGAGCTAGTGCTGAAGTACGAGAGAACCTTAGCGTGCAGAGGTTCAGGAGTGGTGAACCTCTGTAGGAGGCGTTCCTAGACATGGAACTAGCACTTAACCACCCTGCTGATAAAACTCTACACACCTTGCTGTCTCTGTGTTTTAAGAAGGTTTCACTGTCAGAATGACATCCTGAGGCCTAGGCCTCCTGGTAGTCAGATCTCGAGCATAATTATAGATAGATTACCAGGAGGCCTAGGCCTCAGGATGTCATTCTGACAGTGAAACCTTCTTAAAACACAGAGACAGCAAGGTGTAGAAACCGCACTGAGTGCATCGCAGCAGGTGATGCAGGTACTAGCTGCCCCTACCGTCACCCATGTGTTTCATAAGCATCAGTGTGCGTGTGTTTCTTGTAGTCATCCTTGTGACTTCCTGTGGAACATCGCTTGCAGAGGGCACTGTGGTGCGTCGAGAGGAGGTGCACAGCGTCACCCTCAGCACAGAAGAAGTTGCTGTGCAAGTAGTAAAGGTGCTGACTAACTATGGGGTCATTCATCCGCACCATAAATACCCAATTGAGGCCGGTGGGTTCACAGCATGGCCGACTGGACTCTCAGGAGACCACGCAGTTAACACAGACAGAGACACACATCATGCACATTGACCTACAAGCAAAAAAGATTGTTTAGGTATGCTAATGAAAGTATGAAATGCTATGATTCCAACCCAGGCCCCCCACTTGTCTGAAATTTTTTTGGGACTTGACTTGTATGTGGGTGTGTTTGTGTTAGAACAGTACACGGGAGGGCTCACCACTGTACTGTATATACAACCTGTGTCCTCTCCTCTGCTACAGGGACAGTGACGGACCATCAACGTAGTCTGTACTCTGTAATGATGTAGTTCAAGAAGGTTCGAGGAGGTTCGATGCACTCGAACCAGTGCATTAGCACCCTGAACACTTTGTAGTGCTCTTCCACTGTGTAGAAACCGCACTGAGTGCATCGCAGCAGGTGATGCAGGTACTAGCTGCCCCTACCGCCACCCATGTGTTTCATAAGCATCAGTGTGCGTGTGTTTCTTGTAGTCATCCTTGTGACTTCCTGTGGAACATCGCTTGCAGAGGAACATCGCTTGCAGAGGGCACGGTGGTGCGTCGAGAGGAGGTGCACAGCGTCACCCTCAGCACAGAAGAAGTTGCTGTGCAAGTAGTAAAGGTGCTGACTAACTATGGGGTCATTCATCCGCACCATAAATACCCAATTGAGGCCGGTGGGTTCACAGCATGGCCGACTGGACAATGCAAGCGCCAGCCATGTAGGTTAATGACACGGTCTGTATGTTGTTGTGGTTCAAGTTGCCGTGGTGTTGTTTACTCACAGGACTCTGACTCTCAGGAGACCACGCAGTTAACACAGACAGAGACACACATCATGCACATTGACCTACAAGCAAAAAAGATTGTTTAGGTATTCTAATGAAAGTATGAAATGCTATGATTCCAACCCAGGCCCCCCACTTGTCTGAAATTTGTTTGGGACTTGACTTGTATGTGGGTGTGTTTGTGTTAGAACAGTACACGGGAGGGCTCACCACTGTACTGTATATACAACCTGTGTCCTCTCCTCTGCTACAGGGACAGTGACGGACCATCAACGCAGTCTGTACATTGCTATTGAACAAATCAATACTGAGATTGCCTTTGTACCGCACAAGGTGACTTCCAACTTTTCTTCGCTCTCCAGTTTTTCAACCTTGGACTTGCTACGTTAACCCTGCTGCCCTCTCTGAAAGTCTGGCGCAGCCCTTACACGAGAAGTGTATGTGGGTGTGTTTGTGTTAGAACAGTACACGGGAGGGCTCACCACTGTACTGTATATACAACCTGTGTCCTCTCCTCTGCTACAGGGACAGTGACGGACCATCAACGCAGTCTGTACATTGCTATTGAACAAATCAATGCTGAGATTGCCTTTGTACCGCACAAGGTGACTTCCAACTTTTCTTCGCTCTCCAGTTTTTCAGCCTTGGACTTGCGCTTAGCAGCACACGTAGATGATGCCCATCGGCAGGTGGGAATCCGGGTTAAGGACCTCTTCACAGTTGAAGCTGTAGATGCGGGCACTTCTGAGTTGGAGTTCATCGCCCACAGTAGGAGGAAGATCTGGCCACCCTTCAATCCGTCCAACACCAAACGCATGGAAACAGACATAATGGTCACGCTATGCAGAGAAATTTTTGTGCCGCTATGTCGTGAAGTCCTCCTGGAAAGCAGGTACACCACTCGGATTTCCCAGATACCTGAGCTACAGGTTGGTGACCTTGGCCTGGGGTCTGTGGATACTTGGCATGGAACCCCGGATGCAAGACTCAGGGAAATGGAGGTTGTCTGGCGGAAAGACTTATGCACTGGTTCGGGGTAGTTCAAGTGCATCGAACCTCCTCGAACCTTCTTGAACTACATCATTACAGAGAGAGCAAGGTGTGTAGAGTTCTTTTACATGAGTTCGGGGTGGTTCGACTGTACCGAACCTTTTCTAACTACATCTTTAGATGGGAAGAAATTTGTGCAGGATGCTTATGCACTGGTTCGGGGTAGTTCAAGTGCATCGAACCTTCTTGAACCACATAATTTCAGAGAGAGCAAGGTGTGTAGAGTTCTTTCACATGAGTTCGGAGTGGTTCGACTGTATCGAACCTTTTCTAACTACATCTTTAGATGGGAAGCAATTTGTGCAGGATGCTTATGCACTGGTTCGGGGTAGTTCAAGTGCATCGAACCTCCTCGAACCTTCTTGAACTACATCATTGCAGAGAGAGCAAGGTGTGTAGAGTTCTTGCACATGAGTTCGGGTTGGTTCGACTGTACCGAACCTTCTCTAACTACATCTTTAGAGGGGAAGCAATTTGTGCAGGATGCTTATGCACTGGTTCGGGATAGTTCAAGTGCATCGAACCTCCTCGAACCTTCTTGAACTACATCATTGCAGAGAGAGCAAGGTGTGTAGAGTTCTTTTACATGAGTTCGGGGTGGTTCGACTGTACCGAACCTTCTCTAACTACATCTTTAGAGGGGAAGCAAAGTGTGCAAGGTTCTTATGCACTGGTTCGGGGTAGTTCCAGTGCATCGAACCTCCTCGAACCTTCTTGAACTACATCATTGCAGAGAGTACAAGGTGTGTAGAGTTCTTTCACATGAGTTCGGGGTGGTTCGACTGTACCGAACCTTCTCTAACTACATTTTTAGAGGGGAAACAAGGTGTGCAGGGTGCTTATGCACTCGTTCGGGGTAGTTCAAGTGCATCCAACCTCCTCGAACCTTCTTGAACCACATCATTACAGAGAGAGCAAGGTGTGTAGAGTTCTTTTACATGAGTTCGGAGTGGTTCGACTGTACCGAACCTTCTCTAACTACATCTTTAGAGGGGAAGCAAGGTGTTCAGGGTGCTTATGCACTGGTTCGAGTGCATCGAACCTCCTCGAACCTTCTTGAACTACATCATTACAGAGAGAGCAAGGTGTGTAGAGTTCTTTTACATGAGTTCGGGGTGGTTCGACTGTACCGAACCTTCTCTAACTACATCTTTAGAGGGGAAGCAATTTGTGCAGGATGCTTATGCACTGGTTCGGGGTAGTTCAGTGCATCGAACCTCCTCGAACCTTCTTGAACTACATCATTACAGAGAGAGCAAGGTGTGTAGAGTTCTTTTACATGAGTTCGGGGTGGTTCGACTGTACCGAACCTTCTCTAACTACATCTTTAGAGGGGAAGCAATTTGTGCAGGATGCTTATGCACTGGTTCGGGGTAGTTCAAGTGCATCGAACCTCCTCGAACCTTCTTGAACTACATCATTGCAGAGAGAGCAAGGTGTGTAGAGTTCTTTCACATGAGTTCGGGTTGGTTCGACTGTACCGAACCTTCTCTAACTACATCTTTAGAGGGGAAGCAATTTGTGCAGGATGCTTATGCACTGGTTCGGGGTAGTTCAAGTGCATCGAACCTCCTCGAACCTTCTTGAACTACATCATTGCAGAGAGAGCAAGGTGTGTAGAGTTCTTTTACATGAGTTCGGGGTGGTTCGACTGTACCGAACCTTCTCTAACTACATCTTTAGAGGGGAAGCAAAGTGTGCAGGGTGCTTATGCACTGGTTCGGGGTAGTTCAAGTGCATCGAACCTCCTCGAACCTTCTTGAACCACATTATTTCAGAGAGAGCAAGGTGTGTAGAGTTCTTTCACATGAGTTCGGGGTGGTTCGACTGTACCGAACCTTCTCTAACTACATCTTTAGAGGGGAAGCAATTTGTGCAGGATGCTTATGCACTGGTTCGGGGTAGTTCAAGTGCATCGAACCTCCTCGAACCTTCTTGAACTACATCATTGCAGAGAGAGCAAGGTGTGTAGAGTTCTTTCACATGAGTTCGGGTTGGTTCGACTGTACCGAACCTTCTCTAACTACATCTTTAGAGGGGAAGCAATTTGTGCAGGATGCTTATGCACTGGTTCAAAGTGCATCGAACCTCCTCGAACCTTCTTGAACTACATCATTGCAGAGAGAGCAAGGTGTGTAGAGTTCTTAGAGTTCTTATGCACTGGTTCGGGGTAGTTCAAGTGCATCGAACCTCCTCGAACCTTCTTGAACTACATCATTGCAGAGAGAGCAAGGTGTGTAGAGTTCTTTCACATGAGTTCGGGGTGGTTCGACTGTACCGAACCTTCTCTAACTACATCTTTAGAGGGGAAGCAAGGTGTGCAGGGTGCTTATGCACTGGTTCGGGGTAGTTCAAGTGCATCGAACCTCCTCGAACCTTCTTGAACTACATCATTGCAGAGAGAGCAAGGTGTGTAGAGTTCTTTCACATGAGTTCGGGGTGGTTCGACTGTACCGAACCTTCTCTAACTACATCTTTAGAGGGCAAGCAATTTGTGTGTGCAGGATGCTTATGCACTGGTTCGGGGTAGTTCAAGTGCATCGAACCTCCTCGAACCTTCTTGAACTACATCATTGCAGAGAGAGCAAGGTGTGTAGAGTTCTTTTACATGAGTTCGGGGTGGTTCGACTGTACCGAACCTTCTCTAACTACATCTTTAGAGGGGAAGCAATTTGTGCAGGATGCTTATGCACTGGTTCGGGGTAGTCGTCATCGAACCTCCTCGAACCTTCTTGAACTACATCATTACAGAGAGAGCAAGGTGTGTAGAGTTCTTTTACATGAGTTCGGGGTGGTTCGACTGTACCGAACCTTTCTCTAACTACATCTTTAGAGGGGAAGCAATTTGTGCAGGATGCTTATGCACTGGTTCGGGGTAGTTCAAGTGCATCGAACCTCCTCGAACCTTCTTGAACCACATAATTTCAGAGAGAGCAAGGTGTGTAGAGTTCTTTCACATGAGTTCGGGTTGGTTCGACTGTACCGAACCTTCTCTAACTACATCTTTAGAGGGGAAGCAATTTGTGCAGGATGCTTATGCACTGGTTCGGGGTAGTTCAAGTGCATCGAACCTCCTCGAACCTTCTTGAACTACATCATTGCAGAGAGAGCAAGGTGTGTAGAGTTCTTTCACATGAGTTCGGGGTGGTTCGACTGTACCGAACCTTCTCTAACTACATCTTTAGAGGGGAAGCAATTTGTGCAGGATGCTTATGCACTGGTTCGGGGTAGTTCAAGTGCATCGAACCTCCTCGAACCTTCTTGAACTACATCATTGCAGAGAGAGCAAGGTGTGTAGAGTTCTTTCACATGAGTTCGGGTTGGTTCGACTGTACCGAACCTTCTCTAACTACATCTTTAGAGGGGAAGCAATTTGTGCAGGATGCTTATGCACTGGTTCGGGGTAGTTCAAGTGCATCGAACCTCCTCGAACCTTCTTGAACTACATCATTGCAGAGAGAGCAAGGTGTGTAGAGTTCTTTTACATGAGTTCGGGGTGGTTCGACTGTACCGAACCTTCTCTAACTACATCTTTAGAGGGGAAGCAAAGTGTTCAGGGTGCTTATGCACTGGTTCGAGTGCATCGAACCGCCTCGAACCTTCTTGAACTACATCATTACAGAGAGAGCAAGGTGTGTAGAGTTCTTTTACATGAGTTCGGGGTGGTTCGACTGTACCGAACCTTCTCTAACTACATCTTTAGAGGGGAAGCAATTTGTGCAGGATGCTTATGCACTGGTTCGGGGTAGTTCAAGTGCATCGAACCTCCTCGAACCTTCTTGAACTACATCATTTGCAGAGAGAGCAAGGTGTGTAGAGTTCTTTTCACATGAGTTCGGGGTGGTTCGACTGTACCGAACCTTCTCTAACTACATCTTTAGAGGGGAAGCAATTTGTGCAGGATGCTTATGCACTGGTTCGGGGTAGTTCAAGTGCATCGAACCTCCTCGAACCTTCTTGAACTACATCATTGCAGAGAGAGCAAGGTGTGTAGAGTTCTTTCACATGAGTTCGGGTTGGTTCGACTGTACCGAACCTTCTCTAACTACATCTTTAGAGGGGAAGCAATTTGTGCAGGATGCTTATGCACTGGTTCGGGGTAGTTCCAGTGCATCGAACCTCCTCGAACCTTCTTGAACTACATCATTGCAGAGAGAGCAAGGTGTGTAGAGTTCTTTCACATGAGTTCGGGGTGGTTCGACTGTACCGAACCTTCTCTAACTACATCTTTAGAGGGGAAGCAATTTGTGCAGGATGCTTATGCACTGGTTCGGGGTAGTTCAAGTGCATCGAACCTCCTCGAACCTTCTTGAACTACATCATTGCAGAGAGAGCAAGGTGTGTAGAGTTCTTTCACATGAGTTCGGGGTGGTTCGACTGTACCGAACCTTCTCTAACTACATCTTTAGAGGGGAAGCAATTTGTGCAGGATGCTTATGCACTGGTTCGGGGTAGTTCAAGTGCATCGAACCTCCTCGAACCTTCTTGAACTACATCATTGCAGAGAGAGCAAGGTGTGTAGAGTTCTTTCACATGAGTTCGGGTTGGTTCGACTGTACCGAACCTTCTCTAACTACATCTTTAGAGGGGAAGCAATTTGTGCAGGATGCTTATGCACTGGTTCGGGGTAGTTCAAGTGCATCGAACCTCCTCGAACCTTCTTGAACTACATCATTTGCAGAGAGAGCAAGGTGTGTAGAGTTCTTTCACATGAGTTCGGGGTTGGTTCGACTGTAC